GTGGAGAACATTCACAGGAGAGCAAATACACATTTCCATCACTTGTAATAATTTCAGATTTGTTTCATGAATTCGTTATTCCGGAATATTGACATCTGGTAGGTCTTCTGACTAAAATTAATATTCAGTTCGTTCGATATGTATTGGTGACTCCTTATTTTCGGATGCTTCCAACATGAAAGCTGATCTGCACCCGACCCTCACCCCATTTTTTTTTTTTTTTCCCCCTCCACTGAAGATCCTCACACATCCGACCACAGCTTTCATTCAAGTGGCTGCCCATACTACTTTATGACATCCATCGCGATGGCCCTCCAGCTCATTCCTTGGTATCAAGCAGGTAGGTCCTCCCGATGACACGCTGAATAGGCCTGCCCCCTCTTCTTTTCCTCTAATGCCTCCTGGGATAATGTCACATGTATATGTTTCCCGGGAGGCACGGCGATCAGTGTGCACGTCATTCACCTAAGGCATATGACATGCATGGGGAGGCGGGGTCAGACGGACGAAGGGTAAAAAAAGGCACGATAACCTGTTGAGTGGAGGGGGAGGGGTGGAGTGGAAGAGGGTGAAGGTCCGCTTTAAACAAAAGGCCCAAATTATTACATCCTGTTTATCCCAATAAATTCATTGTTTTGTTATAATTTATTTCAGATTTGTCAAAATTCGTTACTATTGCTTTTCCCCTCTTCATTCTAGCATGAACGCTGCTGCCAGACTCATCCACCTTACTAACCGTTCTGTATCAGCCAGCCCTCTCTGCCAATCCCTCCACTGGCCTCCATTCAGTGTCCTCCACCCCTCTCTGCCAATCCCTCTACTGGCCTCCATTCAGTGAGTCCCCTCCACCCCTCTCTGCCAATGCCCGTCCCACTGGGCCTCCATTCAGTGTCCTCCACCCCTCACTGCCAATCCCTAAACTGGCTTCCACTCAGTGTCCTCCACCACTCTCTGCCAATCCCTCCACTCGGCCTCCACTCAGTGTCCTCCACTCCTCTCTGCCAATCCCTCCACTGGCCTCCATTCAGTGTCCTCCCACCCCTCTCTGCCAATCCCTCCACTGACTTACATTCAGTGTCCTCCACCCCTCTGCCAATCCCCTCCACTGGCCTCCATTCAGTGTCCTCCACCCCTCTCTGCCAAGCCCTCCAGTGGCCTCCATGCAGTGTTCCTCACCACCCCTCCTCTGCCAATCCATCTACTGGCTTCACATTGCCGAACGAAATTAAAATTCAAAACATTAACAAATAACATATAAAGCCATTTGTAACTCCGCCCCCAATTGCATCACCAATCTTGTCTCCAAATATCACCCAAACCGTCCTCTCCGCTCCTTCCATGACATCCTGCACTCTAAATCCCTTGTCTCCTCCTCCCATGCTCATCTCCAGGACTTCTCCAGAGCCTCCCCTATCCTCTGGAACTCTCTACCCCAATCTATCCAACTCATTGCCTACTCTGCCAATCTCTGAAAACCTCTTTCTTCAAGGAAGCCTATCCCGCCTTCAGCTAATAACTGAATCTTCATCAGTCCATCCCCCACAGCTATTACCTTTTTGTACCACCAGCCCATCCCTCTTAGATTGTAAGCTCCAAGGATCAGGGCCCTCCTAACCCTCTTGTTATTGAACTGTATTGTGTCCCTTTATATTGTAAAGCGCTGAGCAAACTGTTGGCGGCATATATCCTGTGTAATAATAATTGATAGCTCTTGCCTCGATTCCGTGGGGTGGGGCACATGGCCGTTCTTAGTCGTGGAGCGATTGTCTGGTTAATTTTCGATACAGAATAACACGGATGAGAAAGGGGTCAAACCAACAAAAAAACCATTCAGGGTGCCGCATTCCTATTCTCCACACGAAGGAGAGTACCCACAGACAGGAAGTGATGTAAGGCACAGACAGGATGTGAGGTAGTACAGAGGAAGGAAGTACCGCGGTGAGAGGTGACTCGTGAGGAAGTAGAGAGGGAGACATTGCTGGAACTGGCAGTAGAGGAGGTATTATATTTTTATATATATATATACGATGATGAATGGTTGAGCTGGGTTTGAGACTACGGAAAAAGGAAACCAATTCATGCCGATGAGCAGATAAAAGTGTTTATAGAGAAAAAAAATATAAAATAGGATTACCTAATATAAATAGGGGGCGAGCTGGGCTACTTCCCGGCACGTGAGGGTTGGGATTTTTCCATGAAATCTGACAAATTCTCCAACATATCTTGAGATGAAGTCCACGGTGATCCGCACCGATATCGATTGCTGTGTGTCCCCAAAACCAAGAGCCGAATGTCATCCATAGGACAGAAAATGAACCCAGTCTTTCTGAAGTCCTCTGCACCAAGGAACTTGTAAATCAAAGAGTTCCATCTGCTAAACCGCTCTATGGATGTACTTTGGGCTTCCAAGGTCCTCTATGCCACAAATCTTATTGATTTGGACTCCATCAGCCATGTAGCCACCTCCAAGAAACTTGTAGATCCATGAGTTCCATCTGCTAAATCACTCTATTTGGATGTGCTTTGGGCTTCCAAGGTCTCCTTTGTGCCAAAATCTCATGACTTGAACTCCATCAGCCATGTAGCCACTCCCAAGAAACTTGTAGATCCAAGAGTTCCATCTGCTAAATCACTCTATGGATGGCTTTGGGGGCTTCCAAGGACCTTTGTGCCAAAATCTCATGACTTGGACCCATCAGCCTCGTAGCCATTCCCAACAAACTTGTTAGATCCAAGAGTTTCCATCCGCTAAATCATTCTATGGATGTACTTTGGGCTTCCAAGGTCCCTTTGTGCCAAAATCTCATGACTTGGACTCCATCAGCCATGTAGCCACTCACGAAACTTGTAGATCCAAGAGTTCCATCGGCTAAATCACTCTATGGATGTATTTTGGGCTTCTAATGTCAGACAAATGCCGAAATCTCATGACTTGGACTCCATCAGCCATGTAGCCATTCGTTCTGCAAATCGACTTTATGTCTGTGCCTCTGCAATAATAAAAGCCAATGTTTTTTAAATAATGAGGGCAATTTTTTAATTCAGAGCACTCTGAGATATCAAACTGTGGGAGGCAGACCTATTCGTCCCAATCTAGTGTAGATTAATCTTGGTTTATTGTCCCTGTCTACAGAGAAGAACATCCTGTAGAGATCACATGACCAATGAGATGGAGGAGGACCAAAGTCAGATGACCAGAGGATATTGGACCTCACCCCTGGAGATCATCTACCTGCTGACCCGGAGAGGTGAGGAGATTCTGGGAGTCACATGACATTCACCCCCATCTCTATTTAATAAATAACAGACCTGGCTGGAGAGGTGAGGAGCATTCTGGTGAGGTCACATGACATCACTCTCATCTCTACTAATAAAATAGACCTGACCGGAGAGGTGAGGAGATTCTGGGGGTCACATGACAATCACTCTCATTCTCTATTAATAAAACAGACCTGACCGGAGAGGTGAGGAGGATTCTGGAGGTCACATGACATCACTCATCTCTATTAATAAAACAGAGACCTGACCGCTAGAGGTGGAGAAGGATTCTGGGAGGTCACATGACATCACTCTCATCTCTATTAATGCGAAAACACAGAACCTGACGGAGATGGTGGAGGATGGATTCTGGGGAGTCTAACATGATGTTCCTGCTTTGGTTACACCCCAATACAGAGATTTTCCTCTTCTGAAGTCAGGTGATCATAAATGAACATCACAGTATGCCTCCATGTGACTCCCTACAACCCCAGAGAACACAACATGGAGAAGATTCTAGAAGTCACCAAGAAGATGAGGAGCGTGCATGACAGGAGGAGAGTGTGGAGTGGTGACGGGAATTCTGGGACATTCTCCAGTAACAGACAATTGGGTTTCGTGTTCTGGATATGGTGACTGTTCATTGTTGTGTGTCAGGTTCCTATAAGGTGATCAGGGTGTCCACTGTCTATTTCTCCATGGAGGAGTGGGTATATTTAGAAAGGACACAAAGGACCTCTTACAAGGACGTCATGAGTGGGACACTCAGCAGTTTGTAAGCAGTTTGAAAAAGGAATTTCAACTGTAAGAGAAAATATTGAAGTTGTGTTTTGAAGGTTCATCCTACCTTACTGATTGAGAGAGGTGAGGAGGATTTATGGGAGCGTTTTTAAAATGACATTTGCCCTTTATCTCTTATACATAGGACCTGACCATAAAGGTGAAGGCATTGTGGGAGATTGTAATATTTGTTTTGACTCACACAGGACCGTGCAGTAGTAATGATGACGTCAGTTGAACATAAAGCAAAGAACCTGGATCCGCCAAATCTTTTTTGTTCCTACACAATACTATGCAATAGCCAGCGGCCCTATCATTACCATTACTGTCACCGATCCATCTGAAACCTCAGAGATGCTAAATATCCTAGAAAGATTCTAGAAGTCACCAAGAAGATGATGGAGCTGCTGACAGGAGATGTTGAGCTTGTGCCGGGAATTCTGGGACAATTCTCCAGTAACAGACAAGGGATGTGTCTGGATGGTGGACTGTATTCATTGTGTGTGTTTTCAGGTTCCTATAAGGTGTCAGGGTGGTCACTGTCTATTTCTCCATGGAGGAGTGGGAGTATTTAGAAAGGACACAAGGATCTCTACAAGGACGTAATGATGGACATTCACCGCCCCTCAACTATCACGGGTAAGAGGAAGACTTTATTGGAAAGGATGAGAGCAGTACGGAGGATCCTCCTAGATCCCCCATCATCTGATTAAACTACATAGAAACAATGGATTCAGTCAGTGTGTGTGTTTCCTACAGATGGATCCAGTCATGGGAACCCCACCAGAGAGATGTCCCGGTCCTCTGTATTCCTGGGATTCCACACAGGAAGGTCACACCATCCCTCACCATCATCAGGTAGGTGGAATTGAGGGTCCAGGCATGAAGATATTGAGATAGTTTGCTTTATGTCTTTAGTGGACAAACTTTAAAGATATTATTTTTTTGTAATGTGTTGGATTAGCATGAAAAACAAAATGGATATAAAAAGTTGAGGTTAAGGAGAAGAAGAAGAGACGTATATGATGGATTATCAACAGTCTACAGAGGAAGTTGGGATGATGGGGACCGCTAAACAGGAGGAACTCTCCCTTACTTATCAGCCAAGGGTGAGTAATGGAACCAAGACATTCAGGGAATGTTTGGTGGTAATAAAGGATTGATGGTTGATGATCTGTAAGGCATTCACATCGTCAGATAAAATGATTTCTAGAACCTGTTGTAAAGGAGAGAGCAGTACTTGAGGGTCCCACTAGATCCCCCATCTTCTTGATAAACACATAGAAGAATCATGGATTCAGTCAGTGTGTGTGTGTTTCCTACAGATGGATCCAGTCATGGGGAACCCACCAGAGAGATGTCCCCATCCTCTGTATTCCCGTGATTCCACACAGGAAGGTCACACACCATCCCCTCACCATCATCAGGTAGGTGGGACTGTGATTCTAGAACTGAAGAATGACTCCAAACTTAGGTGAGATTTTATCTGTGATAGTTCTTCTCTTGTTCAGCACTCATTTAGAGATTTTATCATCTTGTTGGCTTAGAGTGAAGAGCTGATTTACATGAAAGTTGAGGTTTAAAGAGGACGAGGAGGAGGACATGTGTGCGGGTATGATCAGCCAATCTACTGGGTGACAATATAAGATAAGGAATCTTCTCGAGATATCCGCATCAGGTGGGTAACACAAGAGCCTTTCATGTTTTTTTAATATGCAGTACGGCAAGTATACAGGGCAACTAAAGTACACCAAAGATCCATCTCCGTTCCTCATATAACATCATGGTTCCCAACAATTGAGGAGGAGATACTGGACACCATATGAAAGGTCCATCCTCCATTCCTCAATATAACGTCATGTTCCCCAACAAATGAGGAGGAGATACTGGACACCATATGAAAGGTCCAGCTCCATTCCTCAATATAACGTCACTGTTTCCCCACAAATAAGTGAGGAGATACTGGACACCATATGGAAGGTCCATCTCCATTCCTCAATATAACGTCATGTTCCCAACAAATGAGGAGGAGATACTGGACACCATATGGGAAGGTCCATCTCCATTCCTCAATATAACGTCATGTTCCCAACAAATGAGGAGGAGATACTGTACACCATATGGAAAGGTCCATCTCCATTCCTCAATATAACGTTTCATGTTTCCAACAAATGAGGAGGAGATACTGGACACCATATGAAAGGTCCATCTCCATTCCCTCAATAAATAACGTCATGTTTCCAACAAATGAGGAGGAGATACTGGACACCATATGAAAGGTCCATCTCCATTCCTCAATAGTTAACGTCATGTTCCCAACAAATGAGGAGGAGATACTGGACACCATATGAAAGGTCCAGCTCCATTTCCTCAATATAACGTCACGTTTCCTCACAAATAAGGAGAGATATGGACACCATATGGAAAGGTCCATCTCCATTCCTCAATTTAACGTCATGTTCCCAACAAATGAGGAATAGGAAGATACTGTAGACACCATATGGAAGGTCCATCTCCATTCCTCATATAACGTCATGATTCCCAACAAATGAGGAGGGAGATACTGTACACCATATGAAGGTCCATCTCCATTCCTCAATATAACGTCATGTTTCCAACAAATGAGGAGGAGATACTGGACACCATATATGAAAGGTCCATCTCCATTCCTCAATTTAACATCCATAAGTTTCCAACAAATGAGGAGGATGAATACTGGACGACCATATGAAAGGGTCCATCTCCATTCCTCAATATAATGTCATGTTTCCAAACAAATGAAGAGAGATACTGGACACCATATGAAAGGTCCATCTCCATTCCTCCATATAACGTCATGTTCCCAACTAAATGAGGAGGAGATACCTGGACACCATATGAAAGGTACCATTGCCATTCCTCCATATAAAGTCACGTTTCCAACGACTGGCCTACACGTGTAACTCTTGACTGTGAAAGAGGAAATAGTAATTTGCATTTAATACTATTAATTTATTTCCAGCAGATGGATGCCATGTCTGGAACACCTCAGAAGGACATACTTATTTTATCTACTGATTATAACACAGGAGAACGAGGCCGGAAAAAAAGGAAGCGGTTACCGTTCCAAACTCCTCAATGGCGAATGAAGCCCTTTTGCTGCCCGCAATGTGGAAAATGCTTTGTTTGGAGAGGAGACCTTCTTAGACACCAGAGAAGTCACAACGGGCGAGCGCCCTTTTTCGTGCTATTTAGTGTGCGGACAAAATGTTTCACGCAGAAAGCTACTCTCATAGTGCATGAACGGTTTCACCACTGGAGTGAGGCCCTATTCATGCTCGGAGTGTGGGAAATGGTTTTACTCGGAAAGAGATCTTCTTAGACACCAGAGAACTCACACGGGGCGAGCGTCCATTTTCCTGTTTGGGACTGTGGGAAAAAAGTTTCACGCAGAAAGCGAGTCTCATTCTGCACGAGCGGCTTCACACGGAGTGCGGCCATATTTCTTGTTCGGAGTGCGGGACAAAGTTTCACTCAAAAAGGAGACCTTCTTACACACCAGAGCAGCCATATGGTCGAGCGTCCCTTTTCTGTGCAGAATGTGGAGGAAGAGTTCAAGAAGAAATCTGAACTTGTCCTACACCAGAGATTCCACACCGGGGAGGGGACTTTGCATGCTCTGTGTGTGGGAAATTCATTCACAAGAAATACAAACTTGTTAACAACGAGAGAGTCCCACTGGAGAAAAGCCCTTTCATTGTTCCCGACCCGTGCGGGCGATATGTTTTTCGATTAAAGGGAAACCCTTAGTAAGCATTATGAAGTGCCCACACCAGTGAGAAGCCGTTTTCCTGTTACACGTGCGGGATATGTTTCACCTTTTAAAAAAACAGTTTTATCAGGCAACAGAAAGTCCATTCTGGGGTGAGAATGCAGCCCTCCAAGTGCAGGAAATCTTGTAGATCAGAAGTCATTACTCCCCCCTTGAGTGCTCAACAGAAGAACCATTTTGATGTGGGTGTGTGGGACATTACTATTTGTGGAGAGAAGCTCTGGTCCACCACACGGGCGGGTGCCATTTTCCTTCTTGGAGTGCAGGAAAGGTGTTTGTCAGTGACTTTGTATTATCCTGGGTTCTTTTTGGGCCATCCTTTCTCAACTAGAGGGTTGTGAAACCCTGGTTTCCTACTGGGGCTGCTAATAGGGGTGCTAATAGGTCCTTTGAAATTTGGCAAATGAATCCTAGTTGGGGGTGCCTGGATTGTTCCTGGCCAGATTGCTACTTGGCAAAAGTCAGGGGGCATGACACCATTGGTCTTTTTGCCTTTTTGTAGGGGAGCAATACTGTAAAGATCGCTTAGCCCCCCCCCTACAATGAGGGGAGGGGGTTCCCTAAGTAGACCTTCAGTTCTCACTCCAGCTGGTGGTCTCTCATAATAACCTTAGAATTGGGAAAAAAAAAAAATTCACAGTCCATATACAGGTATGAGGATCCTCCAGACCTTAAAGGCTTTGTGGGGCTCGGAGTGGATAAATCTTTACTTCTTGTCAGGTGGAAATATCCACCAGTAGTAACCACTCCACCATAAGGCCACTGTAAGCCTGGGGGAATCCAAACACTAAGAAACATGCAAGGGCGGAGGTGCCACCAGCCTAGTGCGTTGCTTGTAGGGGACTCCTTTAATAGTCCATTCCACACATCTGACGCATGTCACACGCAAAGGGGACAACAGCTTACGCGCTTCAAGGGATGATGCCCTCTTCATCAGAGATCTGGTTAAGAGATTTACTAGATTTTCCACATTTCAAGGGACGATGCCCTCTTCAGCAGAGCTTTCTGGTTAAGAGATTTCTAGATTTTCCACATTTCAAGGACGATGCCCTCTTCATCAGAGCTCTGTTGGAGAGGTTTTTTTTTTTAGCTCATTTTAAGCGTTTTAAGGGTGCTGCTCTTGCATCTAGAGCTTTGATGAAGAGCTTTTTACGCATTTCCAAGGGCATGCCCTCTTTTATCTGAGGCCTGTTAAAGAGATTTCTAGCTTTTACATGTTTCAAGGCCCTCTTATTCAGAGCCCTGTTGAAGGACATTTTCTAGCTTTTACAGTTTTCAAGGATGCGGCCTCTTACCGACGTCATCAGAGAGCTTCAATGAAGAGCTTTTTAGCTTTTTATGCTTTTCAAGGGCAATACTCTCTTCATCTTAGCATTAATGAAGAGCTTTCTAACTTGTACACATTTCAGGTTTGATTGCCCTCTTCATTAGAGCTCTGATATACAGATTTCTAGCTTTTTTCATGTTTCAAGGGCGGATGCTCTCTTCTCAGAGGTGCTCTGATGACAGGAGTTTTTTCTAGCATTTTAAGCTTTTCAAGGGTGCTGCCCTTTCATCAGAGCTTTGATGAAGGCTTTTTATGCTTTTCAAGGGCGATGCCTCTGCATCAGTGCTTCAATGGAAGAGCTTTTAGCTTTTTATGCTTTTCAAGTGTGATGCCCTCTACATCAGATCTCTGTGAAGAAATTTCTAACTCTTACTTGTATGAAGGGCTGATCCCTCTTCATCAGGAGCTCTTGGATGAAGACATTTTCTAGCTTTTACACGTTTTCAAGAGAGATGCCCTCTTCATCAGAGCTCTGATATAGAGGATTTCTAGCTTTTACACGGTTTTCAAGGGCGATGCACTCTCTTCATAAGAGGTCTGATGAAGAAGTTTTTTTTAGCATATTAAGCTGGGGTGGATTTTTCAAGGGTGCTTCCCTCTTCATCAGAGCTTTGATGAAGAGTTTTTATGCTTTTCAAGGGCGATGCCCTCTTTATCAGAGCCTGATAAAGAGGATTTCTAGCTCCTTCACGTTTCAAGGGTGGATGCCTCGTTCTTCAGAGCTTTTTAGCTTTTATGCTTTTCAATGGGTTATTGCCCTCTTTCATCAGGAGCTCTGATGAAGAAATTTTCAACTCTTACTTGTTTGGAGGGTCGATGCCATCTCTCATCACAGCTTCAATGAAGAGCTTTTTCCTTGTACACGTTTTCAAGGGGGAGCCCTCTTCATCAAATTGATATAGAATTTCTGCTTTTACACTTTTTAAAGGGGGATCCTCTTCACAGGGTCTGTTTAAGAGTTTTTTTTAGCATTTTAACTTTTCAAGAGCGATGCTCTCTTCATCGAGTCTGATGAAAAAGTTTTTTTTGCATTTTTAAACTTTTCAAGGGGGCTGCCCCCCTTCATCAGAGCTTTTTTGAAGAGCTTTTTAGCTTTTCAAGGGGGGATGCCCTCTCATCAGTGCTTAATGGAGCTTTTTTGCTTTTTTTCTTTTCAAGTGTGATGCCCCTTCATCAGTCTCTGATGAAAAAATTTTTAACTCTTACTTTTTTTGAAGGGGGATGCCCTCTTTATCAGAGCTCTGATGAAGACATTTTCTAGCTTTTTTCACTTTCAAGGTGATGCCCTCTTTATCAAGTCGATATAAGATTTCTACTTTACACTTTTAAGG